ATCAATAATTAAATTAATCTTGAGTGTATAACCATCGTTTCAACTATTTGATCCATATTTTATAATTGTCACCTAAGGGTGTACAACCATAAAATATGTTCAAATAAATTATCCTCTCGGAGATCCACACCGGTACATAATGAATCCCTTCCTAGGAGTCGATATCACCATGTGTTACCTGCGGACCAACGATGGAGACCATGGGTCTTTTCTTCAAAAACCCTCACCTACTCAATCTTTTGGAAAACAAGGTTTTATGTTAAAAATATGCATGAACAATTTTAATGACCAGCACTCTCTATTCTACATGACATATTATCACATATATAGCACATCATATTATATGCAATCATAAAAAGCAATTAAGCTAGGCAACAAGCATAATAATAATTTAGCGGAGTAAGAAGAATGAATATTAGCGGAGTAAGAAGAATGGAAAACAAGGTTTTTTTTTTGTCCTTAAAATTTCCCATAATTAAAGTTGTACCACATATGTCGCACCGCGAACTTTTCGAGCCGAGCCAAACTAAATTCGGGTCACCATAACACATACCATAATGAATATTAGCGGAAATCTCATGCTTATAAGTCTTCCAAGTGTTATATCTATTTAGCTAATATGTTTTTTGTACGTTGTCGGGTAGCATTAGATTAGTTTGTTTAATTATCTGGGTGTGCTTTGTTGTCTCTATTTTATGAATATCTATGGGGGATTATAAGTATGATAGGTTTTCTGAGAATAACACATGTAGAAAGAAGATATTAGGATCAAGGAAACATGGGCTGGGTTTCGGACGATCTAATGTGGTTGGAAATTCCAATAGAAGTCTCGCCCTTGTTGGTTTCATAGGGATCCAACTTTTACCTTGAAGATTGGTGGGAAAGGTTAAGGCTTATAACTTGTTAGAATATAATTGCATTGAACTTTTGGCTTCCTTGAAGACAAACAGCTGAGATTAAATGTTACTAATTTGGTTTTTTTATTGTAGGATAATGGCTCATTTAATCTTTAGCAAAAGTGAAACTTTGAGAAAGAGGAGGATAGTTGCTTTGCTTTTACATTGGTTGAATGTTATGCATATTGTGCAATGGTTCTTTCAATTGATTGAAAGAGTAGTGATGGAGGATATAGAATCAAACTTTGTACGGAGACAACTCTATGTCCTTGACGTGTTTGTTCATAGGCAATATGTTCATCAACTAGCTTACGCAAGTGATGTCATATGTAGAGATCAATTAAGGATGAATAGAAATGCCTTCACTAATTTGTGCACATTGCTAGAAACTAGGGGTGGTTTGAAAGCGTCTAAGTATTTGCAAGTAGATGAGCAAGTGGCTATGTTTTTACATACCATTGCTCACCATGAGAAAAATAGAGTTATAAAATTCCATTTCATGAGATCTGAAAAAACAGCTAGTCTTGCATTCAATCATTCAACTTCATGGAGTGTTATTCGTTAAACCCGAGCCGGTTGCAGACAACTCAACTGACGAGAGGTGGAAATGGTTTAAGATACTTACCTATTTATGTATTATGTTTAAAGTGGGCAGCACCTATGGTGTAATTAATAATTATATCTTTTATTTATGGTAGAATTGCCTAGGTGCACTAGATGGAACCTATATTAGGGTAAGTGTGCCTATGACAGAGAGACCCAAATACGGTAATCGACATGAAGCTGTAGCAACAAACGTCTTAGGAGTATGCACACGAGATATGAAATTTATATATGTGTTGCCTGAATGGGAAGGATCTGCAGCTGATGGTAGAGTATTACGCGATGGGCAAATGGTTTCCGTGTTCCAAATGGTAAGTTTGTTAGTTACTAGTAAAGTAGATTACTCGTTCTTTGTTATATCGTTCTTTGTTACATCTACAAAATGTTAAATCTATATTTATCAATTCTTTTAACAGGATGTTACTATCTTGTTGATGTTGAATACACCAATTGTAAAGGATTCCTTGCTCCATTTCGTGGCCAACGATACCATCTAAAGGAATGGGAAGATGGACCACAACCTAGGAATGCACATGAGTATTTTAATATGAGACATTCACATGCTAGGAATGTGATTGAGAGATGTTTTGGTGTACTTAAGAGTCGTTGGGCGATTCTTCGTAGTCCATAGTTCTATCCAATTAAAACTCAAAATCGCATTATCTTGGCATATTGTTTGTTTTATTAGGCGCGAAATTCCTAATGACGTTCTAGATCCAATACCAGAAAATGAGTGTGAGAATGACGAAGAAGATGAAGAAGAAGATAATGATGATTTGCTAACGGCCGTTGAGCCTTCAGAAGAATGGACTGAGTGGCTATAGCACAAGATATGTTTAATGATTGGAGGCATCGTAGGAATACATGACAATTGTATTTGTGTTTTTCCTTAGGAGTTGTAACATGACTTGTGTTGTTTGCTTGTATTAGGACAAACTTATGTTGCATTGTTATGTTTTTTCCTCGAATAATATGTGTCGCTTTGTTATGTTTTTATTTATAGTATTTGAAAGTTATTAATTATATGTCATGGAGGATGCTGATTCTTGATTGTATGCATGTTTGTTCTTTGTTATTGTTAGGATGGACACTTCCAAATCCAGAGGTCTAGGTCAAAATAAAAGGTTTTAGAATGAATATGAGGATAAATTCTTAATTGAAGCTTTAATGGAGTTACATAACGAGGGAACATATAAAGCGGAAGGTAATTTTAAGGCTGGACATCTACAAGCTCTTGAGAGAAAGTTACATAACAAGTTGTCAGGATGTGACTTACTAGCTAAGCCACACATAGAGTCAAGGATGAAAACTTTGAAGACTCATTTTTAAATTATTGATGAAATGCTAACCGGGCCTAACTGTAGCGGTTTCGGATGAGATCCAGATAGGAAAACGGTTACTGCTAAGAAGCCAGTGTGGGAAGCATATCTCAAGGTACTTATAATTCTAATTCAGTAATATGGTTGATAGTAATAGAAGTTGGTCATCTAGTTACATTGTTTTTTGTATTAAATTCAGAGTCATAAGGAAGCATTACCGTTTAAGACCAAGGCTTTTCCCTATTATGATGACTTGTGTATGGTTTTCGGCAAAGATCGTGCAACTAGTAAGGGTATCGAGGCTGCTGTTGATGTTGTTGAGGAACTTGAAAAAGAAACAGCTGACGACATTAATATTGACGATGACTATTTCAATGACATTCACAATACGACTTATATTGATGAAGCGCAATCAATGTCTTTCTCACAAGCATCGACTATTTCTCAAACTCAAGCTCAATCTCAAGGGTCGTCTAAGAAAAAAAAAAGAAGAGTACAAACAATGCAGAGGCTTATGAAGCCATTGAAAGATCATCTAGTTTACTTGCTGGTGTTATTGACAAGGCAAGTGAACGTTTAAGTCGGGCTATCGATGAAGACATGATGGAAAAACATAGCCGAATTAGAGATGAGCTACAAAGGACCACAACCATTAACACAATGTAACGACATAAGGTAGCTCGGATGATGATAAAAGATGATACTTTAGTTTATTACTTTTTTAGTATCCCTGATGATGAAAAAGATGAGTGGGCTAGAGCTTTGCTTGCTGGTAATATTTAGGAGTGTTTATTTAGTTTCAGTGGAAAAACATAACCGGATTATCTTTTGATATACTGGTGTATGTGCTATGCATTTCTCTTTTGATATTGTAACTAATTAGAATTATGCTTCACTTTGTTAAATTGTATTAACTAGGAACTTGCTTGACTTGGCATATGACTATATTTTGGGATTATATATGTAGTTAAATGATATAGTCATTTTTATTATTGACAGGAGCCAAAGTTATATTTTTCAAAGAACATATCATGGTAGATGCCAAAAGTGATCATATTTGAGCTTGTGATAATTTATTATTACATAAAAATATCAAATATTATTTTTTTTACAATTGAAATATAGTTTTTAAATTATTATCCTTCAAATAAAAAGTTTTTTTCAATAATTAAATTATTTTTGTACTATTTTAATTAATTAAAATATTAAATTATTTAGGATTATTAATCAATGGTATTTTTTGTCAAAATATAGTTTATTTTCATTTCATTTCGTTGTCAACCAAACAGCATAATCCTCATTCAGGTATTGATTCTATAACTCTAATCAAACTAAAGAATCAGTTTATGATTCTAGCACATTCCAATTACATTCCATTACCATTCTTATTACTATTCCAAATGCACCCTTAGGGCGTGTTTACTAAACCGTAAAGGAATGTAATTGGAAAGATAATGGGATTAGAAAGGAAAGGAAAGTAATAGGATATAAGGGTCATTCATTCACTTTCATGTGTTTACTTAACTATTAGATGATGTAATGGAAAACAACCTCATTCCCTTTCTTATGTTTACTAAAATTAGGAATAGTAATATTATGAATGTAATCACTAAAATGTCATTTTACACAATTAATTAATCATTGATTGTATAGTAATTCATTAAAGGTAGATAAGTAAATTTAGCATTCATTCACTTTGACAAGAAATCAATACTAAGGGGGGTGCAAAGATTGGTATTCCCTTTCCTCACTCCCCATATTGTTTGGAGCCCACTAAATCTCAATTACTAATTTTATAAGTAAACACATTATTAGATGGGAAAAGGAATCAATCCTTACTTCTCCTTTCCCTTTGATGCAAAGTAAACATGCCCTTAGTGTATGTTTGGTATATGGCTTATGCTACAGTGCAAACCCGTGATTTTGGTTCTGCTACAGTATTTTTCTCTTATAAAAAATTTAAATTTCAATAGTTATAATCAAGAACCGTAGTTTAAACCCTGGTTTGAACCCATATACCAAGCAGGCCCTTTACTTTCTTCCTCTCACAAAAGGGTCGTAGACGGCACTTAAAACAGATAGAATGACAGAGGTAGAAAAAAATGGACTAACGGTCTGTTACATATACTCATCCCACTATTTGGAATAAAAAATTCATGGACTATGTCACTACGTCTCGTACCTTTGGCCTTTCTACGGCTTTGAAGGAATGGAAAGATGGAGTTTCAAAATTTGGAGGCTTCAGCACAGCATATGCCCCTTCATTGTTATACTTTGGTTCACCGAACTGCAATCACAACAAATGGCAAGACAAAATTACATCTATCACTAATTCAACAAAAATAATATAAAACAAAATACATCTTTAACATTATTAACAACACGCACCAAAATTTTCAACATTCTCCCAATAATCAATGATCCGCTGATATACATACAAATATATAGAGTGAAAATATATGTTGAACAAACACCTTAAAGATGTAAGTGAGAGTATGGAACCAAAACCTGCGGGTAATCTGGCACACTAAACAAAGTGTACATTTTCCCTGATTCGCCATCATGATCCAAGCTGTACCCATTTAACATGTCTCCAAACTCATCCTGACCAGCCCTCGCATCAGGGCCTTGATGTGATCTTATGATCAACTGTTAACAGCAGATAGAGAGAAACCAATATTCCGTCATGACACTTTAAGCTAGTGTTTAAGTGAGAGTGAACTATTTCACATACAACCAATGACAAAGAACTAGAGTACAAATTTGAAAGCAAAAGCACAAAGCTTTTGGATAGGCAACAAAAGTAATAACGTCCTCTTGACTTACTTAGATATCCACATGTACATAGCATCCAGAGATGAAGTTTATGTCTCACATTTTATATACTCAAACGAAAGCATGCAAACAAGAATTGCAGCAAATAAGTGTTATATTACATATTTTACCTTTAATTTGGATTCTTTTAAAAAAGTCTCAGTGCAATCAGGACCCCATGACAGGCCCATTCTTCTATCAGCATTTTCAAATAGACCATCTTCCTTTGATGGATCTGACCATAGGATATCAGTCAAAATACTCGAATCTTCTAACGAAGCACCTATAAGAAACCTATTCATGTTAGACAAGTCTTCTAGAGAACCTAACTCCAGAATCTGTGCTCTCTTTCTCTTAGACCTTCGCAACTGCGTGCTTCTGAAAAGCCCTCCGTGAGTGGTATATACACAACCTGCTATAATTGAGGCCAGAGGAAGCTCTTTGAAGCATTCCGAGCATTTATTAAAGACCATTTCACCTTGATCACCATATTTGGCCTTCACTTCTTGCTCAAAACCATACATCAATGTACAAAATTTGGTCTCATGATTTCCACGTAGGAGATAAACTCTATTAGGCATCAATACCTAAACATTAAAATGTGAAAGAACAATAGAATATGTCAAACAAAATCATTACAAAAGAGCAACTGCCAATCAAAATACCGGACTCTGCCCACCAATAAAATACTTCAGGTAACCAAGAAAACAATATTTGCTTAACTCTTTCCAAGAATCAAATAGTTGAAAGGTCCGATCAAATACAGATTGTTGGGAGGGAAAAGATCCAAGCGACATAAAAAGCATCAAGCCCAATATTTTGGAACTCACATAAACAGACAAAATATAATAGATATCACCATGCCAATTGGTTACAAATATAGGTAAATGAGTATATTAGGTGATATATGAATCATTCTAGACTATTGAAAAGTTTTATAAAAAAAAAAAAATAGAACACACTCTTAGTTGATGCAAAAGATAAAAACAACACAGGTAAATCAACTTAGGTAAACCAATATACTATCACTGCTTACCTTCCAAGCTAGCAAGGCCAAAAACACCTCCACGCCCCATGCTCCCCTGTCTACATAGTTTCCATTGAACACATAAAATTGGTTCTCAGAGGGCAATCCGGCAAGGTTAAAAATGTTGAGTAAATCGTGGAAATGTCCCTCAACATCACCCACTACAACAACTTTTGAATCTTCTCCACGGCAGTCAACTTCTACACAATTTGGTTCCTTGGATAGGATACTTGAAGCAGCGTCAATTAAATTATCCACCACGGAAATCGGCATGAGAGACCAAAACACTGTTGGTGGGTACGTCTTTATAGATTGAACAAGTTTTTCCATCATAGTCTTTACCCACTCCAAGTTTATTTTCCCATCTGGAGGCCATATAAGAGAAACCCGAAGGGGTGACAGTAAAATTGATTTTATCACCTCATTCTGTCCAGACTGCACTGCGTGTGTTTCTCCATCAACAACTGTGATACCTTGTTCTGCTCCAACTTGGACATTCACATCACCATTGCCCGAGTGCGACAGCCCGTCTATAGTGTTGTCCTGATTCTCATTTCGACCCTCTACATTTCTGGTGTCTGCTTTGGCTTCTGGCCCCTCATTTTCAAATAATCTCCTTTGAAGCCTTTTAATATCCGTATCCTTGTTGCTTGTAGCCGTGGCCCCACCCACTTTGCCCTCCACAGTCTCTGCATCAACTCTATCCACCTGTAATATGCAAAAAACAATGGAAATTAAAATCACCATGGTTAAAGAAGAGCTGGAAGAATAACATTCTGAATTATTGCCATACTGATTCAACAAGTTCACGATGCCGATAGGTTGTAATTTTAGCACGTCTAGTAACAATTGTTGATGCAATCTCTTTCATACGTGAAACTGACCGTGTCTGCTCATCATCCATACCTTCACAAGGTATCTTACTCAAAATGCTGTTAACATCCTTGCACGAACCCACCTGCTCAACAACGGTAGAGTAAGCCAAACAACATAATAAATGCAAAATAACCTACTTACCAATAAAAATGGACACTTACCATCTTCTCAATACTTGAGGATAGTGCCTTGTTCACATCATTCTTGGAAACCTATGAAAATCAACAATAGAATCAACAAAGCTAATAATCCATATCATGAAGAATATAATATATGCATATACATATATAATAAATCTCTTTCTGTCTTACCTTTTCAACTCTGTTACAAAGAATCCCACGTGCTATTTCTCTCATCATCATGAGTGAATGCACTTGTTGGTCATCTAAATTTGTAAACGACATGGCGTTTACGTTGTCCACAACCTTTCTAGCTGCACTTAAGATTCTCTCTTTGCGAGACCTCACATCTGCAGCCAAAACAGCATGACCCCATATAAGTTCAAATTCAGGGCAATCACTATTACCACTATTATTCACTTATTATCAATATTAACAATCACACTTGAACCTTAATTACTCATAAAGCTTCATATTGCATCAAATTTAAACTGAAACTTATTATAAATAAATAAATAAATTCCTTTTTACGTCCTAAAAGAAAAAAAAAACCCAAAAAAATTGTTTCCCCTAAATTTTTAAAAAAAAAAAAAAAAAAAAAAAAAAAAAACCAAAAAAATTGTTTCTCTTCCCAATGAAATTCACAGACCCAGTAGAGGAAAAACGAAATCATATAATCGAAGAATTGGACGTTAAAATTCGAGCCTTTTCTTTGGCAATGCAAAACAGAAAGCGGTGAAATACGGTGCTGAGCAGAGATCACTGACCTTCGACCGACATGGTTGGACTGCAAACGACAACAAAAATCCGAAGGGAAGTTCGAATCGGCTCTGTTTTGAAGGAGATTCGTCGCGGCAGAGAGCGAGAGGGAGAGACCCAAACGACTTCGAGCCCTAGATCGTTTTGAGGATTCTTTTTTTTTTTTTTTGACAATTTTGAGGATTCTTTTTTGATGATGAATAAAAAGTAAAATCTTCGACTGAAGGATTAAGAGGAAGGACACATATGGCAGGTTTCCTAATCCGTAATCGGATAGGACAGGAATTTGAGTATAATAAATTATTTACTTGAGTTTTAAGAATTAAAGTAGAATCAATTTTAATCTCATTCATATATTTATTTATATTTATAATTTATAATTATTATTAGGTTTGAAAGTATCAATTCAATAAAAATGAGAAGGGTATCATTCTTTAATTTTAAATTAATATGAGATTCACATATTTTTACTCTTATTTTAAAATAAAAATAAATAAATAAATATGAGATTAATTTTGATTTTTAATTGGCATTCTACATTCTTATAAGTAAACCGGACAATAATGAGGGGGAAGAGTTCGGTATGTATTGAAACGGCGTCGTTTCAATACTGATAATTAATAACAATTAACTATTTGAGATAGAAGTTCAGAGTCGCGCCATTCAGTTTGTGCACATGTGGGCAAAAATTACTCAAACATATATCCATGTGTCCTTTTTAAAAAAAAAAATTTGATGTGAATGAAATTATAAGAAAACCATTTATCAAAAAGAAGAAAGTATAAAAAAAACACAACACTTCTAAATTTAGAAATAGTAGTGAAATATTGTAGGCTTAGAGTCAATTTTTTATATGAAAAAGTGCAAAAAATATATATATTTTTTGGATATATACAAATATCATGTTAAAAATTATTAATAAAATTTTATTTAAGATAGCATTCTCCAGTTTATTCTTGAGAAAAAAAATCAACCTAATATTTATTTTATAATTTAATTAAAATTTCAACTAGATTTGAAAGACTTGAAAAGAAAATTATTTGACAAAGACTTAATAAACAGATCAAATTAATAAATGTAAAGTTAATACATATACCAAAAATTTGTATACGTATAAACAGATTAAATTAATAAATATATATATTAATTCAATTTAGTCATTTAAAAATTTCATACCAATGAAGCTAAATCAACTAGAGAGGTAAGTTTAAGTCAAACTAAAAGAGTCGGTCAGGAACTTGTCATTGTTTTTCTAGTCACGGTCCTAATCCGTCCTGAATTCTCGAACCAGGTTAGGCCAATACTTTTAGACTTGAAACAGTTTTCAACTCAGCCCCGAATATCCCCTTCGAGTTGCCGGGATCGAGTTGGGATGGGCGGCTCATACTTTCACCTTTAATATTTGTTTAATCAATTTCTTAAAAAAATTAACATATATTTTTTGTTTTGTATAGCTTGACGTAAAGGTGTCATTTATGTTTTTTTCCGTTTTCTTTCTTTTATTGAAAGGAGGTCATACGACCTTAAAACGAGTGTCAATCTAAATTAGACAAGATCACCATTGTCGTCGTTGCAGGGGGAGTCTCCTGATCTTTGATCGTGTAGAGAAGGTCGTCGACGTCCTGGTACTTTCCCATCATTGTCATTTCTGCACAAGACTTTCTCAATTAACCGGTAATTTTAGTTTATTATGATAGAGTTCTAAGTTCCCATTTCGTTTCGTTTCCGGCGATATCATTCTATGGTGTCTACTTGGGTGTCTAGAAAACTTAAAAATAGAAAATTTCAAGACACACACGGAGTGGTTCTTCCAACCAATTTTTTCCTGTTTTGGGCTAAAGGAACAACTTCATTTTCTTTTAGAAATTCGTATTGATTGAGTAACTTAATGGGAGATTAATCCTGGTGACACAATTTTCACAATTTGAACCAAAATTCAAAACTTTCTACTCTAGTGTTATCCTTCATAAAAATTAGAATTAAAATTTATGTTCAAACTTACAAAACAGGCGGGGTCATATATCTATTCTCGTTTGTAGTATTGAATAGTGCATACGGCACATTAGAACTTACAACGCATCACAGCAGCAGCTACAGCCTAGTAGTTAGCCTGCCAATTGTGCCCTAAAACACTAACAAAAGTATTCACATCTAGAAATGCACGTACTGTGACTAAGCTAAGTCTGATCTTTACAAAAACAACGTTAAGGGTATAAAGACATAAGAATCTCCAGATACGGTTAGCAATGAATGTCTAGCTAGTCTTGGCATGTTATGCTGATGTATTCTCCCTGGGCTTCAAGTTGACCAAACGGTTTTGCTTTTGCCCTTCGTTTTCATTTTGTCCTCTTCCTTTTTCGGCCGACCCTTGGGACTTGCTCTCAATCACACCTGCATTGCCAGTATCAACATCTTAAATGACACAAATGCAAAGGAACGAAGTGAGCAACTTGTTGAAAGCATATGCTTCAGCGCAGCAACAAGCTCAAAGTGATACTCGAACGCAGCCTTGTGAGGCTCCTGCATATTAAACCGTGATTTTTCAATGCCCGATAACAAATATTGAACGTGGCGAGCAGCCATAAAAGGTTTCCTTACTGGCAAGTCTGAAGGTCGAGGCCGTCCTTCTGCTGTTGGGACTCTAGAAACTTGGACATCTTTGGTGCCGCCTGCATTATCGGCCAATTGGCCACTAATTAGATTCATGGATTTTCATGAATTTTTATTTTTTAAGATTGAGTGTTCATCACCGTTCTTAATATTTATAATTAATTGGCCACTAATGGTTAATCATAATAGAACTGGAAGGGGAATTATGTGTTGAGTTCATTGTGTTGAATTGCGTAATTTTAATTAAGTACCGAAATTGATTAACTCTAAAATTATTTGAACAGTCTAAAATAAAATAGAAAAATAATAGAAGCAAAATACAAATAAAAACTCAAATAAATAAAAACTAAAATAAATAAAAAAACTCAAACAAATTGAAAATTAGGGCAACTGAGGCGTAGCGGTGGCGATAATTGGATGGTTCGTTGAAGTTTTTTTCTTAGTATTTTTCAATTTTTTAGGTGATTGAGGAAAGGTTTTGTCTAATGTGTGCACGTCTGGTTTTGTTACCATGAGAATGCGATCTGAGACCATAAGTTTAAATCGGACGTTTATATTGATATTTCATTATATATTTGCTGCTTACAGTATTGTAGTGTCACCCTTATTATAAAAAAAGGTTACACGGAGAGAGGTAATTTAACGCAGTTCGGCATTGTGTCTATATGTTACATCCATTCCACAAGCTAGGAAAAAAAAAAAAAAAAAAAAAAAGGATAATTCACTGGTAAGGAGGATTATGAATGAATTGCATATAAACTTAAATTATAATCACAAAATCAGGTAAATTACCTAAACGATCAAAAATTCTAAAGTCAAAAGATTTCATGATTTGAAAATAAATACAAATAAATTCAAAACTACTAATAAATATAATTATGTAATATGTTAATTCTCTATAATATCAACGACAACCCAAACTCAATTGGCCTGATGTAGTAGGGGTTCACTCACACCTAAGACTTCGTACGAGGTAAACGGCCTAAACTACCCATATGAAGCACGTTGGCTTGCTAGAGAGGTAAATTCAAATACTGTTGTCCGATCAGTGCCCACTCCACGCTCCATTTTCAAAATTTATTGGAACCACTTGTAGAATAGAAAGGGGACCAACCCCCAAAAGATCAAAAAAAAAAACAAAAAACGAGCTTCTAATGGACGGGAGGGATAGTCTTGTGGTGATCGCTCCTTGTCCCCATGTCGCCGCCACTACTGTTTTGTAATTCGCAGAGTACTTACTACTCCAATGAATGTGTCAAGACTAAGGTCGGGAAATTTTGATAGCCTCGTCTCGCCTCTGTCACTACAAGTGTATCGTTGCTATCCATAGTATAATGCCATCAAGGGAGATATTTCATAAGAGAATTCCTCTGTCACTACAAGTGTATCGTTGCTATCCATAGTATAATGCCATCAAGAGAGACATTTCATAAGAGAATTTATATCATGATTTGAATCATAGTTCATAATTTATTATAGTATTTTCTCTCATAAAAAATACACGTAAATTAAAAATAATTTTAATTTCATAATTTTAATTCATGAACTAAATGTTTAGTTCTCTACCTTTTTAAAGAAGAAAATTTTTAAAAAGGACACTAGTGACGATTATTGATGTGACAAAACAATAAAATTACATCGTGGTTAGTGTTAGTGGTGCCCTGCATATTACAATTTACATTTGTATTTTTGAGAAATTTTTTTAAGCCCTTAGTGTTTTGTATTTTCCTTTTAAATGCTTATAATTTTTTTAATTCTTTTCATATTTACCCCCCCCCCCCCCCAAAAAAAAAAAATACAACTTTTTTTTAATAAGACCTATCAGAATAACTATTCTCAAATGTATTCCTATTTAAGAATCTTTTTCACACAACTATCTCACTTCTTATTTCATGAATATTTTTTCTCTAGTTTGCCCTTATTAAACTAATATTTATTTCAAATATGTCTCTACTTAAACTTTTTTTTTTTCAGCAACTCTTTCGTATGTGCTATCTTAATATTATTCTATCTAATTTGCCCACTAAAATCTTTATTACTTAAGTTGGTTTTTATGTCTATACACATATTTTATTGAATCGAAACACATTTTGATTGAAAACGTTACTAAACACTTTTTTCCAACTAAACACTTAGAAAATGATAAATAAAAAAAAATTAAACTGTTCAATATAATATATACATGTGGATAACACATACTTATTACTAGTTAATACTATAAAAAGTTTTTTTTAGGATTCTTAATATTTTTCACGTTCAGAAACTCTATTTCATATAGAAGGAAAAGATAAAGTATAGATTACTAGGGATCGATCGAATCAATGACTATTCATAATTCCATAATGGAATTAATTACATACTGGTTCTTGATTTACGCCCTTAAAATAAAGTCATGACTCTGCAACTAATTCGTATGTTCAAAATGTTGTTGTTACGTTCGAGTGACAATCACTAGTGTTGGAACTTTGGGCCGGCGGGCTAGCCCGAGGCCCAAATTCTTCGGGCTCGGCGGGCAGACCCATTTACCGGCCCGTCCAACTTAAATTTTCGGGCTCGGGCTCGGGCAGCCTGAAAATGATTAAGTCGCCGGAGCCCGCCAT